CCATGATGCTAACCCCATGGTGCTAACCCCATGGTGCTAACCCCATGATGCTACCACGATGGTGCTAACCCCATGGTGCTAACACCATGACGCTAACACCATGATGCTAACACCATGATGCTAACTTGTCAACGTGGACCGAACCCTCTGAGGAATGTTTCCAGCAACTGGTTGAATGTGACGTGAGGAATTCAAGGTGGTTCTGAAGGCAGACTGGGTCCAACTTGGTATTAGCAAGGTGGACCTAATGAAGCAGGCATTTCGTCTATATGTGTTTGTAATGCTTCGTGTGTGTTTAGGTCCTGGCTCCTCTTCAGGGGGGTCTGCCCCAACAGACGGGGGTCATCATCCAGCCGCAGCAGATCGTTTTAGCTTCAGGAAACAAAGTCCAAGGCAACACGCAGGTCAGAACATCACTCCAGGGGAAATGATGCTGGTCTTTAAAAAGTGTTTTCTTTTCCCCTTCAGATTTTATTCTTCTGTTTCTCCACCATTCAGCAGCTGTTTATTCTGACAGAGGGGATTACAGATGTTGGGTTGTGACGTCAGGTGTGGTTTTCCCAGCAGGTGATGCAGGCAGCAGCCATGGTGCCGCAGCCGGGTCAGGCTGCAGGAGGAGCAGCAGCAGCTCAGCTCCAGCAGGTCCAGCAGGCCCAGGGTGCAGCTGTGCCGCAGGCCCCCCCACAGCCTCAGGCTCAACAGCAGCAGCCCCAAGCGCAGCAGCCTCCCATGATGCTCCAGGTGGACGGAGCTGGAGACACTTCCTCGGAGGAGGACGAGGACGAAGAGGAGGAGTACGATGAAGATGACGACGAGGAGAAAGATAAGGATGGTGCGGAGGACGGACAGGTAGAGGAGGTGAGCAGATTGTTTTACATTCTGTAATAAAAGTGAAACAGTCTCTTGGTGGCTGAGTTAACGTTCAGAGGGTGTTCAACAAAGATGGACTTTCTTTGAACCTCTGGGTTCACATGGAAATGGTTATTTTAGTAAAAGTTCATCTGACTCGGCTGAAAACATGGAAGAGTCTGAGTTACATCAGGCTGGTTGTAGAGAAGCTAAAGAAATATGAAGCGATCAGACGAGAGCAGAATGTCAGAAGACATTTAGGTGAATCTGCTGCTTGTGAAAGAAAAGAGTGAACGAGTCAGACACCTGAAGAATAAATGTCAGACCAGTCAGGGCTGTGGAGCACATCTGCCTCGAAACAAGGGATTTCTGTTGAAGCTCCTCTAGAGCAAAAATTTCACCCTTTGACCCGTTTTCAGTCACTTTAACTGTTTCTGTATACAAACAAACACGCAGTAAATAGACTCCAGTCTAAAATTTAGCTTACAAACTTTAAATATTAAGACACAATAACCCTCAATACAAAAAACATGTAGAATTAGTTTCTTACTTTATTTAGTTTGGGTTTTGTGACTTTGCAAAGAGTTCCTGATTAGGGTTCTGCAAAAGAAAAACAGTCACTTTACTACAACAAATATAACATCTGGAGGACTCTAAGGTACCTCTGCTAGGACAAAAGTCCCAGCTCAGCTGATAATCTGACCCCTAATGCGGCAGAACAGATTAATATGAACAAAATTCATTTCTGACGTTTGAAAATCAATTCAGAATCTTCCAAATCCACGAGGCGATGCGTCTGAAAACGACGTTTCCTCCCATCCCAGTTCTACATTGTTAGTCTGAAATGTGGATTTAATGGTCACATTAGCTGCATTTCACCGGGGCGGCGCAGCGACATGAAGCTGGTTTGATGGTTGCTCCAAGCAGCGAGCAGAACGAAGGTGGCAGGCTATGGCAAGCCAATTGTGTCATTAATAGCTGGTGAAGATTCTCAGTCATCCAGGACATGGTAAATTCAAAAAGTTCAAGACAAAAACAGTCAAGTATAATAAATAAAGTCCAGTTGATTTTGTCTTGAACTTTTTTGAATTTGTCATTATATCCACTTTTACCTATTCCATGATATGGCATGCTTTACTACTCTGCTGCCATCTAGCAGCTGAAAATGGTAGTGTTCAGTAGTTTCAGTCAGAATGAATGAAAACGGTCATATCTCAGCCAAATATTAGTTTATAAATATGGGGGGAAATCCATAAATGCATTGTTTTGGCATATAGGTCACAGGGCATGAAAGTTATGCAAAAACACGCGACTTATCGGGTGAACATACAGTACGGTACTTGTGCTGGCAAGTTCCAAAATCTGGTCATTAGATGTGAGATATCCTGTCTACACGACGGGTCAGATGTTTCCATCCAGGAACATCTCTGCCCGGACACTGAACGCCTCAGACTAAACGATCCTCTCCTCTTCAGGAGCCTCTGAACAGCGGGGACGATGTGAGCGACGACGACGGAGGGGAGCTGTTCGATACAGAGAATGTAGTGGTGTGCCAGTACGACAAGGTAGGAGGAGATTAACTGGGTCCTTCCACCCCGAGCGTTCAGAGGACGTCCGAGTGTCAAACATCTGTTCTCATTTCCTCCTCCCTGCTCCCCAGATTCACAGAAGTAAGAACAAATGGAAATTCCACCTGAAGGATGGGATTATGAACCTTAACGGCAGAGATTATGTTTTTTCCAAAGCCATCGGTGACGCCGAGTGGTGAGGCAGGAGGGGGGGGTGAAGCAGCCGGAGCAGGAAGTCTGTAACTCCTTCTGTCCAGTTAACAGAGCCTGCTGCTCCTTCCAAACTCTGTGACCAGATCCCTTCAACCAGCTGCTTCAGAGTCTGTGAGAACTCGAACCCCCAAAAGGATCCAGAGGTACGGTAAAACCGGGGCGTCGTCCATCAGAGACACTCGACTGGCCTTGCAGGACGAGAACCCTACAGAAGAACGGAGAGGCTGTGTTTCTCTCTTTTTATCTTCTGCATCTTCTCGGATTTTCTGCCCTTTTTTTTCTCCCCCTGACAGAGTTCACGTAAACTGTTCACATTAAACAGGTGTAGCGGACCAGGGTGCCCCGCCCCCGGAGGACAGAGGTCAATCATTTTAACCCCCACACACCACCAGAACCATGGTTCTATGATGCACTGTAGTCTGTTGACTGGGTTGACCCGTGTCCACGTTCTTGTCCAAACTCTGTGCCACCAGTCCAAACTGCTGCCTTTCAGAGACCCGACTCCCGTTTGGGCTCCTGCGCTCGTTTTGGCTTTTGGAGTTCTCGTTCCGTCTGCACGTTTTGAACAATGGTGCTCCAGAGTGTTTTTATGAAGTTAATCAATTGTTATCTTAGAGATTTTAAAGAAGTGCTTGATGAAGGTTGAAGGAAGGAAAAGGTAAATCGACACGAATCTTAAAATATTAATAACAGTGTTTATTTTTTATCAACTGTACCGTTGTTTTCCCTCTTTGCTTCTCTGGAGCTTCATTCCACCTTTTTATCACAAGTTAAAAACAACATTAAATTGGATGAAATGAAAAGTTAGCCTTGTTGGTGGATTGTTTAGCTTTTTGTTTTCTGCAGCCGCCTGAAGATTTGCACCTTCAGCTCATCAGCATGACGTCAGTCTAAAGGTTTTCTGTCTGCGTTTGTGCGCTACTTCAATTTCTCACTCACCCTACAATCTGAAAAACAAACACTGAGGGTGGCAACACTTCTTTATTTATTGCTATGATTATTAGTTTTATTTTGAAAGGTCGCAGCACCAAACTGTGCTCTTATTATCTTAATAAGTGTTCCTTTTTGTTTGTTTCTGGGCTGAAGCTACCTGATGCTGTGCTCTGAATCATTTGCCCACCGTCCGTCCTCCCGTGCTTTCATTATATTCATGACTTTTAGAATAAAATCTTTTATATCAAACTGAGTTTAACTCGAGGGGGTGGGTGGGGGGGCTGAGTGTCTTTCTGCTGTTTGTTTTTAGTATCCCTGTTGCAGCAGTTTGAAATAAAGTACGTGTTTTTGGACGTTTTGGTGACTTGTTCATTTTATTTCATGGAAACCACCTGAACACACAAACAGAACCTGATTTAGTAAAACATGTTTGTTACGTAAACAATACAAATCTAACAGTCGCTAAAATCAAACCAAACTCAGAATCACACGCTTGTACCTTTTGTGGAGTCTTTGTTTGCTAAAATGTATTCTGTCATTTTTTTATTTTATCAACTGCTGTTAAAATAACTTTTAGTATCCCTTAGATCAGTTTGAAATGGTTCATTAAACAGTTTTTTTGTAAAAGACGATGTGCTTTTGCATTAGTTATTTTACAATCTTTTCCCATCTTAAAGTGAAACGTTTATTTATTCTGGAAACTGGCTGTTCCTTTCTGATACGTGGCTCTTGAAGTCTTGAGTTTGTTGCTTTGAGCTGCTGTAGTTCAGCTGCTCCGTTCAGGTGCGTATCTGTTCAGGCGTTCTCAGGTAGTGTAGTCTCTGTGTGGAGTTAACATGTTCTGTTCATGGGGTTTCCCCAGATACTCCGGTCTCCTCCCACAGTCTAAAAACATGTATGTTAGGCTGCCTTCAGGCCCAGGTCTCTTACAAAAGAGATCTGTGGTCTCGATTTGCCTGGTTAAATAAAGGTTACGGTTATAAAAATAAAAAAAAGTCCACCTGGTTAGTGCCAGGTGGGACCCCTCTATGTTCAGAACAGCTTTTGATTCTTCATGTCAGATTTGACAAGTTGTTGAAAACATTCCTGAGAGACTGGTTCTTATTGACACAGCAGCTTGAACAGACCAGGAGAACAAAAACACCCAAGATGTTATAAAATGGAAAAATATAGAATGTGACCATACAAACAAAAAATATACACACAAGAAAATGAGCAATACAGATATTGAACAGAATGGTAAATTAAAACTGAAGAGAAAATATATTTTTGAAATGGGATTAATTCAACAGAGTGATGGCTCCGGGCAGCACAGCTGTATCAGCCTGTTCAGGGCAGCTGTGGATGAGTGATTAGAGCAGTCCTCCAATGGGAGAGTTGGGGGTTTGATTCCACCAGCAGTCACGTGCTGAAGTGTCCCTGGGCAAGACGCTGAACCCCTCATAGCCTCTGCTGTGTGTCCCATCGGTGTATGAATGTGATCTAAAGCACTAATCTTTGTACAGATCTAGTAGAGTGCTGTATGAATGGATAAATGAAGACACAGATTGTGTTGTAAAGAGCTTTGAGTATCTTGATTAGATAAAACTTACATATATACCGTCCATTTACCAGTTTACCATTTAACAGTGCTCTGCTGTTCTTTCAGTATTTGGTGGAGAGGAAGGTCCAGATTGTTAATGAAAGCAATTTATTCTGTGTCCTCTCCACCAAAGCCTCATGAGTGTCTTGCTTGCAGCTGATAATGGAGCCTGGTTTTTGAGCTTAGTGAGCCGGTTTGTGTCATCGGCTCCAAAGCTGCCACACCAACCAACCACAGCGAGGGAGATCACTGGCCACAGCAGACTGGTAAAAGATTGAAAGCATTTTTACTGTAAACACGGCAGGATCTCTGCTTCCCCAGGAAGTGGTCTGCTCATCCTCTTCTTATACACAGCATTAGAGTTGCGTTTTAGTCCAGTCTGCAGTGGTGACTCCATAATCCTCCACCCTGTTTAATGTGTAATGGCTGTGAAGGCATCCTCCCTTTCTTAGTCAGTCTCCATCTCCTTGGTCTGGACCACATTCAGCAGCAGGTGAATTTGCCCAGTCCATTCCACAAAAGCTGTCCACCAACATCCTGTATTCCCTCTGTCTCGAACACACCCAATATCTGCAGAGTCATCAAGTATTACTGAAGCCGGCAGGACTCGGTTGTACTGTAACTCATTGGTGTATGAGCTGAAGGGGAAAGGAGACGACACGGAGCCCTGCAGAGCTGTGGTATCACTGAGCACCAGACAGAACGCTGTCCAAGCGAACATGGCCTGCCTGTCAGTAATCCAGGAAACAAGATCACCTGCAACTACGCTCCCATCGGCTTGACTGGTGTCACTGAAGAAATCAAATAAAGTGAATCTGTGTTACCACCATCCAAGTGCAGATGAGCTCTCTGCAGCAAGTCTATGACGGCATCATCAATTCCAGAACAGCACTGGTGGTAGGCAATCTGTAGAGGACCTGGTAACGTCTTCACCTGCCCCCTTAGACTGACCGAGACCAGTCTCCAACACTTTCTTCACACGACCTGTAAGAGCAACTGAACAGTAACCCTCGTGGTCAGAGTTCTTAGGGACTAGAACCAGGCAGGATGTATTCCAGAGTCCCGGTACCCTCTCTTGGCTGCTGTTGCAAGACAAGAAAGTTTGCTGGCACAGATCTTCAGGATCAACTTACATCCCGTGTCTCCTGTCCCACCACAACCCAAAGGGATCCTCAAGGGAATAGATCTGGTGGTCATGGAGGTTGTTGGAGTTCAGTGAAACAAGACCCATCAAAGCAGACGATGTTTTCCAAAAATCTCTTATTCTGTTTTGGTGAGTCTGAACTGTAGCTACAGTTTCCTGTTCTAAGCTGAGACGCTTTGTGAGTGGCACTGCTGCTGAAGTCCATCTGCTTCACGCATGGACCTGTTCTGTTCAGAGACTGTGTTCTGCAGACCTCGGTTGGAATGAGTGGGTATTTGCGTTACTGTTGCCTTTCTGTCATCTCAAACCAACCTGCCCATTTTCCTCTGACACACAAATGCTGCACACTGGATAGTTTCTCTTATTTTTTTTTTTGGAACATTCTCTTTACCTCTAACCAAAGAGATAGTTGAGAGAAAGGTCCCAGTAAATCAGCAGTTCGTGAAATACTCAAACCAGCCTGACTGGAACCAACAACAACTCATTCCAAGTCACTTAAATCCTTTATCTACAACATTCAGAGGCCCTGTTTGAACTTGGCCATGTCAATTGTGTTAAGGAGTCTAACTAGTGTAAGTAATAAAGTGACCTGTATATATATACCTGGTATAACAGCCCCTAGACTCAACATCAGTTCAACACCACCAGGATTGGGCTATAAAAATGTTAAACCTTCAACATCTCACACAGCTCCAGTAAATCCATTGTTAGAAAATGGAAAGATGCTGCCACAACATACCTGCCCGGAGAGAATCGTCTTAATAAAACTCACGGATTGTGCATGAAGGAAAAATATTCAGGGAGCTGAAGATGACCCTGATGGAGCTTCAGCTCTTCTGCTAGACATGAGGGTCTGTCTGCAGGGCCACAATGAGTTGCACAGAGATGGACTTCATGGAAGAGTGGCAGAAAAAAAGTCATAGCTTAAAAAAAGCAACAGGAGAACGACTAAATGCTGGTTCCACGTCCTGGAGTGGTCCAAACTTCCTCTGAGAATCTTTAGTTTGACTCAAAGATTGTTGGACACAAACGGCACCCTTAAAGAAGCTGGACAGGTTTTGCTGGATTCTCCACTTATGCCACAAGTTCTTGAGCCCCGTAATCCACCCTGCCCGACTTCAGTTCCCCTGCTCCATAATCCAGCGTCTGGATGTCAGTCAGGGTTTACACACTGTGGACGTTCTCTCTGCCAGTCTTCTCCAAACCGTCTCAGCCTCCATTTCCTTTCGGGTTATGTGTGGTGCTGTTGGGGATTAAAGCAGAATCTAAAAACTACATAGATTGTTGCTCTTGATTGTGAGTGGATTTTGCTGTCAGTCGTACAGTTGATCTCTCTTTACAAAGCTGGAACTGAGTCTCAGACAGAGTGATTGGAAGGGGGGACGTCTCACGAAGAGAGTCCTCCAGCTGCTCCTGGACACTCGGACGTCAGACTGAGCCTTGGCACTGGACATGTCCAGTTTTTGTGTCAGTTAGCTCATGGCGGGTCCTAATCCACGACATGGCAAACGCAATAATTCTGAGTGTCGGTGGACTATAGCAGACAGGTTTGTTGGCCACATTGTGTTAAATTTAACACAAAAACCTCATTGTGACAAAGACCATCAGTCTGTTTCAAATGAAAAGTATTTAGTTCCGAGTTTCCCGGCATGCTTCATGTGGTTTAGAGTTTTGCTTCTTCCAACAGGCTAAAGATCTAAGACTTATTCTGTGTACACAATAGGCCTTTTTTCTTAAATGTTCACACATTTGTGTAAATCTGTGTTAGTGAGCACTTCTATGCTGGGATAATCCATCCACCTCACAGGTGCAACATATCAAGATGCTGATTAAACAGCATGATTATTGCACAGGTGTGCCTTAGGCTGACCACAATAAAAGGCCACTCTAAAAGGTGCAGCTTTATCAATGCCACAGATGTTGCAAGTTTTGAGGGAGTGTGCAATTGGCATGCTGACTGCAGGGATGTCCATGTTCAGAGAATTTGGCAGTACATCCGATAGACCTTGGACCCCTTCTCTTCTCGCTCTATCTGCTCCCACTGGGATCCATCTTAAGAAAACATGCCATCTCATTCCATTGCTATGCCGATGACTGCCAGATCTACCTGCCACTGAAACCAGCCAGTGCTCGTTCCATCCACCCTCTCCTCAAATGTCTAGATGACATTAAGGCATGGATGACTTCAAATTTTCTCAGTTTTAACGACCAGAAAACTGAAGTCATCGTCTTTAGTCCTAGCTCAGCTGCCTCCTCAGATCCTGCAAACCTGGACTCACTTCAGCCCTATCTCAAGCACACTGTTAGAAATCTCGGGGTGGTTTTTGACTCGGATTTTAAGTTTGACAAACAGATCAGTTCAGTTCTGCAGAAAAGTTTTTTCCAACTGCGGCAGGTAGCTAAGCTCAAGCCAGTGTTATCCAGACCCAACCTTGAAACATTAGTCCATGCCTTCATCACAACCCGCCTGGA